TCCCTTCTGGTCTTTGGGAGAGCAAATGGCCTGAACAGAGACCAGCAAAGGACAGCAATAAAACCCGGAGCCCATGTGCAGCCTGGCAGGGGCCGTCAGCACCCACGGTGGGGGGAGAAAGAACTGGCCATGGAGCGGAGCAAAGAAGTGCAGGTTTCGGCCTGCGAGACACAGGCGGGCGGGGCTTTTATACTAAGCAAGCACAAGACTAGAGGGGGAAATCAGGCGGCTTTGTTTTTTTCTATGACAGAATCAATAGATTCCAATCAAGCACTGAGTGTGATCAGGGTCAGATGAGAATTACTAAGTGTAAGTCTTTGTCGGCAGGAACTAGAACATACTTGTATCTGGAAGGATGGTCTGCATTTCTGCAAACCAGGCCTCTGAAAGCCGAGGAGGGCTGAGGTGGCTGGAGGTTCCTGCCCCCAGGCTCTAATGCCCTCTGCCGTTTGGGACTTCCACCCTGGCCCTGTGGAATTCACCTGGGACTTGGCTTTCCGCTAAGAAAGGAAATGAGAGGAAGGCAGAGAGGAGAGTCAGAGGTCTGAGAGTCTTCAGGTCCCCAAACGGGGGCTGGCGGCTTACTGTGTTCCTATTCTCCACTCACACTCCTCATAGTAGCCCCTATACATGTGACCCAAGCAAACATGTGGGGATGCATCTTCCGGCTCCCCCAAAGACACAGCCGTGTAACTCTCTTAAAACAAGAGAGTTGCTCCTCACACCCGCTCTAGCCCCATTCCCACCCTCCGCCAGCCCTCTGACCCCCAAAGCAAGTCTAGAGCCTCCACTGGACAGTGATGGTGATTGGAGTTCACAAGAATACATGCAAACTGCACAGGACGGTGTTGGCTCTATGGCTCCTCTAATTACACAGAGTCTGGCTTTGATATGCTTGATTTGGTACCAGGCCCCAGGGATGGGAGAGGAGGGAAGAGCCCGGAGTAGCTGTGCTCATCGGCTAGGGTTGCCCTAACACAATGCACAAGTCAGGGGCTTGCAACCCCAGCCATTGCTTTCCTCAGCGTGTGCGGTGCCAGCAGTCCTGACTGTCCTGCCCTTGTGCAGCTTCCAACACACCCCACCCCACCTCACCCAGAGGAGGTGCTCCTTGTCCTGGGCAGTGTCGCTCACTCCAGCCTTTGCCTTTGGTTTCACGTAACAATTCTTTCTGCATGTCCCTGGTTTTCTTCTTCACTTCTTAGGACAGCAATCACACGGAGATGAGGATCCACCCAACTTTAGCATGACCTTGTGATAACGGATTACCTCTGCAAAAGCCTTATTGCTAACTAGAGCCACATGTTGAGTGTCGGGAGGGTAGGACATCAACACACCTGTTTTGAGGGAAAGAGGTACAACACAGACACCCTAAACTCCTCGAACGCACCCAAATGAGGCTGCACAGGGGCCCAGCCTGCAGCTGTGGGAGGTCCAGGAGGCTGTTAGTCACTTCCGTTGGGGAATACGTCAGGGATGGCAGGGAATGAAGACATCACAGGGCCATGATTCCCGCATCACTTCATTCAAGCTTCAAACACCCCAAGAAAGGTGGTAGTGGCTCAGGAAACATCTGTGAGTGCTCGGAAGGGTGAGTAAATGAATGTGTCCCTGCTGGCATCGTGGTAACCCATTGGCTGCCAACTTGAAGGTCACCAGTTCAAAACAATCAGTCCCTCTGAGGGAAAATGAGGAGGCTTTCTACTCCCCAAAAGAGCTGGAATCTTGGGAACCCAGAAGGGACAATTTGTGCCACTGCTTGCCTAGGTGTGTGGGCATGTAGGTGTTGGATGACCTCCCAGAGAGGGTGTGTGAAGGCTGCCCTGCCCTTCCCCTGGGGGCCTCCCACAACCTGTGTCTGGTAAGGGTTCCTCACCTGGGGTGGGCACTGAGGATGTCTGCAAAAACAACCATAAAGGACCCTGTGGCCTTTGGCCTCCCTGTTTTCTGTCTTCAGAAGCAAAGGGCACTGGTGGGAAATTGGCAATGAAGGATGAACGTGACCCCTTGTGGCGGACACAGAAATTGACAAGAGACCATAGACCATACATAAAACATGCATCTACAGTGAATGGTAAGGACGGCACAGGAAAATATTTAATTGACACGGGGCCTTAGCTTTCCGTGAGACAAGGACTAGAAGAGTCCTCCAATAAAATAGATATAAAAGGGGTAACCAACCTGATAACCAAAGCACATCAAATGGCCATACAGTGAAAAATATATGATAAACTAATTCCAGGAGAGATTGTCATGGGACCCCACCTGCCACACATTGTTGGCATGGACATTTTTCCTGAATTGGAGGCCCATCAAACATATGAAAGAATATAAATGGGCATTAGCTCAAGATAACAAGACACCTATAGTACTACCCACACCCGATAAAACGCACTGGGTAGCACAATATCCCCTGAAAGGAGGACGTGTTGAAATAAATGGGAAAAAACCAAACCATTGGAAACAGAAGGTGCTCTGCATTCAAATATAACTCACACATACGGACGGTAAAAAAGCCAAATGGGAAATACATTATTACTACTGATGATTTGAAATTATGTAAATGAAAACTCTCCTAAAAACCTAAGTAATTTACCACATGCTTCAGAAATACTAAACCTTATAGCAACTTCGGGAGAACATTCCTACGCTAAAATAGACATACCAGATATGTTTTTCACAATACCTATAGATGAGAAGTAACAAGAATTTATCTTTTCACATGGCAAATCATACAATATAAATTTTCTAGGATACTACAGGAAATTTGAATAGTCCAGCCATAACACACACCACGCTAGCGGGACAATTGTTTGAATTAACAAACAATTTCTTTGCATAGAGGATATCCTATTAACCAACAATAACCATTTGCATCTTAACAGAGATTTATAATTTTTGGTCAAACATCTACAGGACCAGGAGTGGACAGTCAACCAAAAAAAGGTACACGGACCAGCAGACCTGTCAAGTTTTCAGGGCTAGATTGGTCATCAAAAGGGAGTGGCTACTGAAACCATCATACATGGGAACTAGAAAGTCGCAGCAATTTCTATGGGAAAACGGGCAGATACGTTTTTTTACACTAATCAAAGATCGTGATAAAAAATATCATACCCTTGCTAAGCCCCAAATCACAGCGACATAAGAATAGATATATTCTACTGACCAGGCATGGGAGACACCATGATCAGGACGGTGGTTTTCCCAGGGTGAGGCTCGCCCAGTGCACTGCGGGGGTGCTGATCCCTGTGATTTCCCCAAATGCAGGAAACTCGACTGCATACTTTGTGGTAGTGGGGGCTGCGTTCGCGCTCTTCCGTTTTTCCAGAAAAAAGAACAAAAAAGAATATCTATATTATTCCCTGAAGACTACAGAAACTGAGCAATTTACAGCCATAGTCAGGTGTGGTTGGAGGGGGTGCCAGCCCCCCACCAGTAATCCTGGGTTCGATAGGCACAATTGTACGGTTGATATATATATATTAATAATAAAGTCATTGAAAGCATGAAATATAGAAGAGATTTAAATAACGGAGTGAGACACAATTCATGGTAGCAATGCTCACCTCAGCCTCACTTGGTGGTCCACGTGGAGAGAGGGGGAAGGGAAGGAGAACAAGGGGAAAGGGAACAGGGCATTGAGGACGGGAGAAGAGAGGGGAAACAGAGAGGCCAAGAGGGGAGCCTGAGAGAGCTCTTTATTGCTAACCCAGGACTACATACCTTTGGGGGGAGTGCAAACCCACTAATTACAGATAAAGACATAAGTCACAGGAAGGGTTTACACTATAGGTTAGACAGCAATGAGAGGGGGACAATCTAGGGATATACACGCAATAGGAAGAGGAGGGATTGGGGGTAGACCTGTGACATGATGGGCATATCCTAGATTCAGGATGGCAGCCCAACTTTGGATATCACTGAGCCAGTTTGATTTGTTCTCTGGATCTCAATAGAAACCATTATCAGTAGGATGAGAACCCCACCTACAAGAACCAAGCTAATGGTCAGAAAGCCTTTAGGGAGAAGTAGCCCATTGTCCTGAACAACAGGGAGTGGGGTCCACCTTAGTCTGATGACTAACTGCCTTCAGGGAGGATGTCTCTAAGCTTCTGTGAGCAAAAACCACCTAATATTTGGCATGTCTTTGGGGGAGACAAAGCTGGGGAAAAGTCTTTTTATAATCCCACAATCAGGTAATGAAAAATTATAAACAATGCAGGTTTTATACCCCAAGATTCCCCTAATCCACAATATAATACAACTTATTAGACAAATTAATTTGTACATCTGTGGCCCTCCAATGCTCAGAACCGTATACAGTTGGAGGGGGGAATAAACAATAAAACTCCTATCCCTATTTTAAGTTTAGTCAACCTTACCCCCTACCACATGAGGGGAGCAAGTCTAGATCCAAAGCGGCTTAGAACAGTGTTCCTCGAAGAACTAACACAAGTCCAAGTGCATCCTGCGGCGTTTTTAAAAAGTCCCAATTTTTGGAAAGAATGCACTACAAGCTAGGGAACGGCAGGAGAATGGGAGTTTTCGGCTGCCATGTGGCTATTTCACCAGGATATGAGTTTTATATTATTTTTGTAAATTTTATAATGTTAAACTTTAATAATAACAAATAATTGTTGCGAACTGCTTATTGAGAACTGCTTATCAAAGTTCACATTGTTGATCAGTTGTTAGAATTCGACCACCATTGTTTGGACTTAATGAACAGTGGCATTTTTGGCATTGGCAACGAAGAAAACATTTTGTAACTGTCTCTCAGACGATACACATCTAATGCATGTTAGTGCTAGTTAAACAAGTGATGTCAAC